TTTGGGGTTTATTGCAAAGGGCCCGGGTGCAGGGGTCCTGCTGGGATTTGGGGTTTATTGCAAAGGGCCTGGGTGCAGAGCCCTGCTGGGATTTGGGGTTTATTGCAAAGGGCCTGGGTGCAGGGCCCTGCTTGGAGCTGCAGCCACAGCTCAGAGCAGGCCCAAGAGAAGAGAGGGGTAGAGAGGATGACAGGGTAAGAGAGTAAAAGCATAAGAGAGTAAAAGGGGTAAGAGCATCAAAGGCAAGAGCTGAGACAAGAGGTAAGAGCAAGAGTAAGAGAGGTAAGAGCTAAGAGAGCGAAGTTCCCGTTACAATACAATAAATCTTCTTCTGTGTTGAATATTCTGATTCTCACTTAAACAATCTAGTACAATATACAAATCCTATAGCATTTCCATACCGCCTATAAGAATCACTACATTACCATCCTGTGCTACATTTTAAACCCTAAAAACTCCTCTTTGGACCCCTACAGTAGGGGCTGCTCTGACCCTGGGACCTGCCTGCAAGCAGAAGGAATTGTTCCATCAAAAGGGGATTACTTTCAGTGGCCACACCGTTGTTTTCCCGTTGTTCAGTAACTAAGGGATCTCAAAGCTTGCTTTCATTTCAATCTCGCTTATAGTTTCCATATTCTCAAAATCTTTTGCCAGACAATCATATTTGTAAGGCTTTCCTGTTTCATCTCCCCCAACACCCCAGAGCCGGCGCTGCTGCGGCCGTGGGGCAGAGGGGGTGCGAAAGGGGGATCCGGCCTTGGAGCGGGAGGAAGGGGAGGGAGAGGGGAAGGGGAGGAGCGGGAACAGGAGCAGCACGGAGGGAGCAGCCCGAGGAGGAGCAGCAGCCGGGGAAGGAGCGTTGCGGGGTTCCACGGCGAGCCCGCAGCTCGGCTGGGCCCGGCAGCATCGCATTGCCCCGCGTCCCGCAGGTGAGCGCCGAGGGGAAGCGGCAGCTCCGGGAGGGTTTTTGGGGGGGAGAGGGGGATTTTGCTGGGGTTTGGACCTTGCCGATTCCGGAGTTGTGAAAAGTGTATATTATATGGCTCTATGCAGATATTTACTGTGGGAATCCATAAAATCAGAGGGGTTTGGGAAAGCTGCAAGAGACAGCAGAACTGTGATTGGAGCTAAAGCAGCAGCCATGAGATTGGTCAGCAGAAAAATTATTTAAACTGTAGAAAAAGCAAAGGCAAATAGAACATTGGCCTGTGTATTAATGCTTGTCTGAATAGCTCTCTAAGCTGCAGAAAGTTTATCTAGCAAGATATTAGGAAGGTTAAAGCTTAAGAATGGAGCTCTGCATTGTGTTTTAAGGCTTACAAGCAGGTATTGTATTAGAAATAAACAAGGATTGTTTTAACCAAAGGTGCGTGTGCTTATGGTGTGTGAAAAACGCCAATCACTTGTTTTTAAAATTTTAAAAGTTTATAAGTAACAAAATGGTTCTTAAAATAGTAAGACATTTAGAGTAATAATAATTTGGACAATTTCAATTAGGACAATATGAGACAAGAAATACAAAGAGTTACGGATGTCCGGGTACCTTTTTCTGGGCAGCACGAGCCCAAAAAAGGACCCCGCTAACAGAGGATTAACCCTTAAAAACAATAGGCCATTGCATATTCATACACCTCATAGATGATGCATAAATTCCTTTCAAACACAGGATTCTGTCTGGTCATGGTCAACTTCTTCCTTCTAATCCTAACAGCCCCTTCGAGGCAGGAAGAAGTTCGTTTCTTCTGATAAGAAAGCAATAAATTCTCTTTCTCTGAAAAATTTAGGTGTCCTGTGGCTGCTATCTTGCTGCAAGTCCTTTCTTTAAAAAAGTATCCGACATAGCATTGTTTCTATTTTAACAATTTTTATAACCTAAAACTATATTTAACATGGTACTTAAGAGAATTAATACAGCATTACTTTCTAACACAACACATATAATATTCATTTGAATATTTGCGAAAAGCCAATCATAAAATGCATGCATTTTACACGTTTACCATATGTATTTTGATGTATTGATTAATATTGCTGTATTAACATTTTAATAACAAATGTAGTCTTGTAATTAAAAGGTAACTCTTGTAGTTAAAATAAGAACTATGTTAGTGGGTTTTTTTTAAAGAAAGGAATGAGGCACTCGCACCAGATAGCAGCCACAGGACACCTAAATCTTTCAGAGAAAAGAATTTATTGCTCTCTTACCAGAAGAAATGGACTTCTCCCTGCCTCTAAGGCACTGTTAGGATTAGAAGGAAGAAGCTGACACTGACCAGCCAGAATCCTGCCTCGAAGGGGCTGTTAGGATTGGAAGGAAGAAGTTGATGGTGACCAGACAGAATCCTGTGTTTGAATGGAATTTATGCATCATGTATGAGGTGTATGAATATGCAACGTGCTATTGTTTTTAAGGGTTAATCCTTTGTTAGCGGGAGTCCTTTTCTGGGCTTGTGCTGCCCAGAAAAAGGTACCCGGATGTCCATAACTCTTTCTGCTTGTTGTATCGTATTGTCCTAATTCAAATTGTCCAAATTATTATTACTCAAGTTGTATTACTATTTTTATAATCATTTTATTACTATTAAACTTTTAAAATTTTAAAAAGAAGTGATTGGCGTTTTTCACAGGAGTCGAGTCCCAAATATGTTTCAGTGTCGCTGAGAGAGGTGTTTTTAATTCATTTGATGAGGGGATATTTTTGGATCTCTTAGGAGTGCAAAGGGGAGCAGGGGAAGCGCTGAGTGGCTGGAGTGGAGGGATGCTGGAGAAAGGGGACCCTGGAACACCTGATATAAAATTTCAATAGCCAATCCAAATTTTACTTCTATACCTTTTATTTTAATGCAAGCAAGCAGCGCTGGGTGGCCGGAGAGTCACTGCTCCACTCACAGCACACACAGTTTGGTAAAGTATATATACTGTTTTTAAGCCTACAAAGCATTTTCCAATGTGCTTGGTTAGTCCAAATTAGCAAATATCAAAAAGCTGGGAGCACCAATTTCATAATCTTTCCAGGTGGTCATTGATTTCTATCCTTGTTGTGGTTGTCTGGAGGGAGGTCTTAGACTGATGTCTGCTACATGATTTTGTCAAGTGCATCAAGTTTCTTATTATACATAAGATTTTAATTGCTTTTTTGCAATATCTCTTAGCTTTACCCCAACTTCCTCTATTTTATTCTAAGCATCAGTTATCTTGCTACCTCATCTCATTTGCTCTACTATACTTCTTTGATTTTGATGCTTTGTTTGGCTATTTGGTCATAAAGTTTCAAAACTTTTCTTTGTGTCTCTTTTGGACACAGCGGATAGAAGGATTTGCTGATTCCATTGCCAATTGACATGAATCACAAAAACAATTTCCACAGAATCAGGGGAGGATGGGCTCTGAGACCTCCAAAACCCCCTCAGCATGCCTGAGCAGGACCTGGGAGAGGGGGGAATGCCCAAGACCCCCCAGAGCAGAGCTCTGAGAAGAGGGACCCACATAACCTCAAAGTCAGGACACTGGAAATGGGTAACTCCTAGAAGAGTGTTTTTGGAATTCCTGGTTTTTGGAGGTATTTCTGGCCACCAGACACCCGGTGACTTCTAGAGATGGACTTGGCCAGTGGGACCTTCAAAGCCAATGTCCTGGTTTAGGGCAGTTTTGGGAGAAAAACCTCTAAAGGTGTTTCCTGTAGAAGACCAAAGTCAAGCGGCCCCTCATCCAACTGATTCTGGAAAAGTATTTCCTTTGAGAGAAGTGGAAAAACCTGTTTATTTAACAGGCAAAGCACTCACCAACCCCAAAAATTAACAGTATTAAACAATAAAACTGCTTGCTGCTCCAAGAGATGACAAACTCACAAAGTCCCTCTGTGGGCTGTAGCTTGGCTTGCTCAGTCTCTTATCAGTCACTTATCAGTCTCTTATGAGTCTCTTATGAGTCTCTCTGGTGCTGGAAATGCCGTGGCCCAGCCCCGGTGGGGCACAGGTGTGAGCACCTGATGCTCTTCTGGGTGTTCAGTACAGAGCAGGTTTAGACAGGTCCAAAGAAAAGGAAAACCAAAAACCACAGTCCAGGGAACTTCTCTTCCTCTGCTAGCTAAAACTAACTAAAAGCAAAGGAGGGCTCTGTCCCGCTGTCTGTCCGTCCGCAGACAACAGAGGAGCCGGAATGTGGAGGAGTGAGAGAGGTTCTGAAAACAAACTCCATGCTTCTTCTTCCTCCATCTTTGTTCTCAGAACCAGCCTTAAAGGTGCAAAGCTTATTTCAGACAAATGGGGATATGAGCATCATAAATTTGCCCATTATCCCTGGGACCCACAGAAGACCCTCAGGCTGTGTAAGCAGGACCCAGGAGAGGGGGAATTCCCAGGACCCATGGGCCCCCCAGCAGCTCTGAGAATAGGGACCCCATAACCCCAAAGTGAGGACACTGGAAACAGGGAACTCCTGGGAGAGGTTTTTGGACTCCTTGATTTTGAAGATATTTCTGGCCATCCGGTGAATTCTAGAGATGGACTTGATCAGTGGGACCTTCGAAGGCAATGCACTCATATCTTGTTTTTTCCGCAAACCAGGATTTCCCATTCCCAAACCTTATCTGGATAGAGAAGAAGGCTGCGAGGAAGCCGAAGATGCCCCAGGACACCCAGGCAGGTGAGGAGGACATTGCTTCCCCTTTCCCCCTCTCTCCTGCTCCATCTCCCTGCCCAACATGGCCCCCGGCTGCAGGACTGATGCTGCTGATGGTGTCCAGCCAGGGATGCACTGGGGGGATCTCCTTCCCCTTCCCTGTGGCACAGATGCAAATCTCATCCTCTCCTTGTCCTTCCTCCCCCAGAGCAGGAGCTGAGGATGGAGACCAGGGAGGGCAAATCCCCATGGCAGAACATCGTGGCAGAGGCCACTTTGAGTGGCTGCAGGGCACAGGAGTGCAATGGGGAGGAAAAGCCCTGGAGATCCCACAGGAGGAGGGGCTGCAAACCCAGCTCAGGATGCTCTGAGGAGGAAGGACCCAGCCTGTGCCAGGAAGGCAGGTGGAGCTCTGGCCAGAGCTCTGAGGTGGTGGTCTATGAGCAGCTTGATGATGGCAAGAAGCCCCACCAGTGCTTGGAATGTGGGAAGAGTTTCCCCACGAGCTACCACCTGATCATCCACTAGAGGATGCACACTGGGGAACGGCCCCATGAGTGTGGGGAATGTGGGAAGAGCTTCAGGTTCAGCTCCCACCTGATCATCCACCAGAGGATCCACACCAATGAACGGCCCTATCAGTGTGGGGAATGTGGGAAGAGCTTCAGGTTCAGCTCCCACCTGATCATCCACCAGAGGATTGAAGCCCCTAAACGGGTAGCCTTCAAGAAATAATGAGTTAAAACATGGCATGTGAAACATTTGAAGAAAGCTTAGCACTTAGGAAACATATAGGGCAATAAATCGGCTAAGGCATGGAACACCGTGACAGGAAAGAGAGATAGGGATAGGGGAACTGATGGGCTAAGCGTGTTCAGAGCCAACTAACCCTAATAACCTTGCCAAGCCATGGGACCAAGCCAAATACACCGGGAATTGGCCATATTTGGATAGGAGTTCAAAAGTTTAAGGAGGAAGACTCATCAGGTGACCCCTGTCCATGATGAAGGCAACCGGAACGACCACCGAAATGATCCTCAAAAGAGATGTTTCCGCCCACGCTCCGCCTACACCACGCCTCTTATGAATATGTATGCAAAAACATGATTATGCATGTGATATGATGTAACTTCATAATCAAAACTGTATAAAAGGCTTGCTTTTGTTACGAGATACTTAGAAATCCCTTTGTGATTTCTCCGACGCGTTGTAAAAAAATCCCTCCTGTCTATGCTGACTTAAATTGAGTCTCTTAGGCAGTTATTCTCGCCTTTTGGGGCAAAATTCGGCATCAGGATCCACACCAATGAACGGCCCTATCAATGTGGAGAATGTGGGAAAGGCGTCAGGAGGAGCTCCAGCCTGAAACTCCACCAGATGATCCACACTGGGGTACGACCCTTTGTGTGTGGAGAATGTGGGAAGGGCTTCCGTGACAGCTCTCGCCTGATCATCCACCAGACAGTGTACACTGGGGAATGCCCCTACACGTGCTCAGTGTGTGGGAAGAGCTTCATCGAGAACTCCAGCCTGATTATGCACCAGAGGATCCACACTGGGGAGAGGCCCTACAAGTGCAGGGAATGTGGGAAAAGCTTTAGGCAGAGCTGCCATCTGAATGCCCACCAGAGGATCCACACTGGGGAGAGGCCCTACAAGTGCAGGGAATGTGGGAAAAGCTTCAGAAGGAGCAGTGGGCTGATTCTGTACCAGAGGATCCACTCCAGGGAGAGGCCTTACAAGTGTGGAGAATGTGGGAAGAGCTTCGGCTAGAACTCCAGCCTGATTGCCCACCAGAGGATCTGCGCTGGGGACAGGCCCTATGAGTGTTCTGAGTGTGGGGAGAGGTTTTTCAGAGCCAATACTGTCTCCTCAAGCATCAGCAGATTCACACAGAATAGAGGCCCTTCTGCTGCCCTGACTGCAGGAAGGGCTTGAAGAAAAACTCCACCTTTGTCACCCACCAGCAGATCCACACTGGGGAGAGGCCCTGACAGTGTCCTAAGTGTGGGAAGAGCTTCTCCCAGAACTCTGCTGTGACCCAACACCAAGGGAGGCAGCAGTAAGGGATGCCCTACAAGTGCCCTGTGTGCAGGAAGAGTGTGGCCTTGATTTTTTATGATTTTCTAAGCCTTCTGATGTTTACATTCTTGTAGCAAACTTTCTCACACACTTTCTGTAAATAACTTATTGTTTTGCATTCTTTTTTGGAAGAAAAATTTGATGGACTGTTGGTTTGTCCAGTGTCATTGGAGAGGTGGCACTTTCACCCTCCAATCCAGTCACTTTTAGAAAACTCTAAATGTTGGAGTCAGAAAATAAACTTCCCTTTTCTCCCCCTTGAGAGCAGCAGTGTGTGCACTCGTGTTGTTTTGTGTCCTACAGTGACAGGAAGAGCTTTGAGCGCTGCTTCAACTCCATCCCCCGTTGGGGACCCCCACTGGATGGTCCACAGTGACCCTCGCTGGGCAGAGACTTGGTCATCCATGGTCCTGGTGATCCATGTTGGGAAGACACCTGGCTGGTGGTCTCCACATCTTCCTGGCTTCCCTTGGGCACTTGGACACAGCCAGAGAAAAATCCATTGGGATGCAAACTGACATCAGAATTTCATAGGGGACAGGACATTTTTTTTACTTTTGACACCAAAAAGTCTGACCTTTGGCATCCAATCATTGCTTCGGGTGGCATCCAGGAATTCCAAATGGTGTTGGAGGTCTTTTCCAACCTGAATCATTCCATGATTCTAATTCTCTCTGGCCCACCAGCATCTTCCACAGCCAAATGGTGATGGACTGGGGCAAAAAACCAGGATTTTGGAGACAATGGAGTGGAAATCCCTCTTTTAAAACAGGTCATTTCTACCCACCCAAACACATGGATCCTCGGCCAGCATGGACACATAAATGCTTTTATTTTGGCCTTTATTTTCTCTCATTTTTCTTTGCCCTTCACCCAACATTGGGGTAAATATAAAGACATTTAAATATCACACGGATGGTGACATTGTGGGACATGGGTGGGGACATGTTGGGGATGGGGATGGGGACAAGGACATGGGTGTGAACATGGCTGTGGATGGCGATATTGGGCATGGGGGGGTGTCACAGATAGAGATGGCGACATGGGGCTCTATGGCCATGGATGAGGACATGGGGGACATGGCCATGGATGGCGACACAAGTGGCCTAGGGGACAAGTCCATGGGTTGACATGTCCATGCCATGAGGTGTCCCATGGCCAAGGACAACATATCCCCACCACCACCATGATACTGTCCCTTTCATGCTACCATTTGTTCCCTGCTCTTCCCCTGGCTGTGACACCCGCCTTGTGGGATGTCCCCATGTCCTGGTGACCCGTGTCACTCAGGCCACTCCCGCCAGTGGCTCCAGCAGCAGCCAGAGCCCATCGTTGGCACGCAGGATCAGCTCGGGCTGGCGGCGCGGGGGTGACCTCACGTTGTCCCTCCGCAGCACCAACTGGGACGGTGTCAATGCTACTACCACCTTCATCTCAGCCATGGCAAAGCTCTGCCTGATGCAGTTCCTGCCACCACGTCCCCACTGTCACTGTCATCCCACTGTGAACCCAGCCAGGGACAGGGGTGGCACTTGGGGACACTCCTGTCCCCACTCCAGCACATACCTGGGGCCAGCAGAGAAGGGGATGAAGGACGGCGGGGACTGTCCCTTACTGTTCTCCAGACAGTCTCAGAGGATTGAACACCTGGGGTGACACCGACACAGTCACACTGAGGGGACACAGCTGTCACCACTGTGGTGGCAGAGACACATGGAGGCCTTGAGAAAAGTTAATAACAAGTCAATAACAGGATGAGAAAAACAAGTATTAGTCTCAACAAGAAAACCACAGGTATTGGCAACAAAGAGGGGTTGGTGTGTAATCTACAACCAATGATGAGCTCGGGTTTTGTAATATGTATAAGCTTAATTAACACCACTATAAAAGAGTGTAAGCTAGATCAATAAATTGGAGTTCGATGCTGATCAATTAGGATGTGGTCGACTCCCTACGCTTCCTCAAATGGTGACACCCGATTGTGATACAGCAACGCACCACGGAGGAGTGAAGACACGCTCAGGTGCTGAGAAGCAGCCGGGACGGCAGAAAATGCGGAGAACGGAAAAAAAAAGCGGATAAAAAAGAAGCTGAGATGCCTTGTGCCTCGGGTGTCGTACAGGCGAGCCCGACTGATACGTGCTGCACGGACCTTGAAGAGGCTGCAACAGCGCTGACGATTTTAGGTATGAAAAGGCAAGCAGCATATGATTTATTTACTGCCTTTTTACAAAAAAGGCAGGTTAAGGGGATAGATTTGCAAAAGGATTTACCAGGGCTTTTGGCTTATGGCTACGATAGGGGAATTTTTATTAAGCCCCATACAGTTCACGAGTTAACGGAGTGGCGTAAATTCCGTGATTTATTATGGGAGGCTACTTTAGAGGGCGATAAAACTGCCAAGAAGTTAGGTAAATTATGGTGGGTCGTTCGCAATGAATTACTGCAGTTTCAGGCTGAGAAAGAGGCTGCCCAGCAGGCTAGCGCTGCTCATGGGTGTAATAAAGATTACGACCAGGACAGGGGATACGATCAGGATAGGGGATTACCAGTAGCCCCTGCAATGAGGACGGTCTTATTACCTGCTTCGCTGCCCTCTTCTGCTTTAAGCCAGGCTACACAGAGCGCTTCTGAGGCTTCCACACTCCCTGAACAACACGAACTATGGCCAAGACCACCCGATAATCTCCCAAAAATCAATGAGCTGATCCCTGGGGCGGAAAATGACCTAGCAGGGTCTATTGCAAGGGAGCGGAGATTGGCCTGGGCTGCGCTTGCCAGAGACGCTATTAAAAAGGGGGATGGGGAGCTTATCAGCGCTGCTACCCAGCTGGCTTGTCCTGTTGTATTCAATCCGCAAGAGGGAGGGGGCATGCAGGCTACTATTACAGCTCTTGATTGGAAATTGCTGTCTCAGCTGAGGTCTACTGTTAGTCAGTTTGGAGTGAAAAGTGAGCCAGCCAAACAGATGTTAGATTATATTTTTGATGCCAGTCTTCTTCTTTTGGTGAATGATTGTCATGAGATAGATAAATTGATCTTTACTCAGCCTCAGCAATTGTTATTCAATGCTCATTGGCAAGGGCTTGTAAATGAATGCATAGCACAGTTAGGGCTAGGCTTACAAGAACAGGCAAAGACCTCTCAAAATCAGGTGTTAGCTGCTCTTGGACCTCTTCAAACGTCAGCAGCACTGCCTTCAACGCCTAGTTGGTGCCAGAACCGCAGTGACCATGCACCAACAGAAGTTGTCACTGCAGCATCAGCACCCTCTCCTGTCTCCAACCCGACACCACAGGGAGCCTCGGCTTGGAACCGGCAGCCGCCGTAGAAGTTATGCTGATGACCCTGCACCCACGGAAGATCCCGACAGGGATTCACGGACCTATTGTTATACAGGGTCACGCGGTGGGTGCTTTGCTTTTCGGAAGATCATCTGCATTGGGATTATTTGTTTTGCCTGGCGTCATTGATGTGGACTATATGTTATGGTGCATACTCTTTTCCCACCACTCCAAATTAACAAAGGACTGAGAATTGCTCAGCTGGTGCCACTTGAGCCAAATGACTAAGGGATTACAGACTATGAAAGGACAAGAGAGGGGGGAAAATGGTTTTGAATCCACCGGAGGACTTACCTTACTGGCTTTGAACCTTTCTGAGAGACCCAAGAAAAGGATGGAAGTGGAATTTCAAGGACAGAAAGGATCATTTTCAGGCTTGTTGGACACTGGAGTCGATTCCAGCATTATTAGCCCTAGCCGTTCGCCTCCTCTCTGGGTTCGCATGAATGAAAAACAGCTAACAGCTTTCCTTTTCAGTGGTCCAATTACCACCTACCGTGCAATGCCTGATAAGGAAGACATTATGGCTCAGTTGGGGGTGGTTTTAACCCTTTGGGGTAAAAGCCATTGCTTGGACCGTGGCTGAGGAACCTTGTGACATATGCTGTAGAGATATTAGATGTGCTTTTAATGCTTCTGCTTATTTTACCTTGTATTTTTAATTATATTCAAAATATGGTCAGTAGAATGATAGAAAAAACCTGGCAGACTAACCTCCTTGTGCAAAAAAGAAAAACGGGGAATTTGTTGGAGAATTTTGCTCAGACGTGGCTTGAAGGAAAAAAGGCCATGAACATATACAGCTGGTTAAAAAATAAAAGGCAGCTGTACGCAGCAAGTTCTCAGGCTTTTCCCTTAACAACAGTAAACACCATGTCCTTGAGGAAGTGATGAGAAAAAACATGGTGGAAAACATGGAGGCCTTGAGAACAGTTAATAACAAGTCAATAACAGGATGAGAAAAACAAGTATTAGTCTCAACAAGAAAACCACAGGTATTGGCAACAAAGAGGGGTTGGTGTGTAATCTGCAACCAATGATGAGCTCGGGTTTTGTAATATGTATAAGCTTAATTAACACCACTATAAAAGAGTGTAAGCTAGATCAATAAATCGGAGTTCGATGCCAATCAGTTAGGATGTGGTCGACTCC